ACATGTTGGCCCTGCCACTCGTGCCTTCCACACCCATAATTTTGTTCGTGAGGTATAGTCCCTGGTCATTCAGAATGAATATGACGCTGACTGGCTATTCTGGATGACTATACCGTAATGTAAAATGAATTGCACGTATATTTCAAAAGCCACACGCTGACACCTACGTATTCACCACGTCACGCACGCGTAATTCTGTGCTATGCCTGAACACATGGACTACAGTCCTAATTTAAATCTCCTAAATAGTGGGATATTTAAATCTTACACTACCAAGTGTTAAGATCATGCAAGGCATGGTAGGAATCAACATAGTGCAGCAAGATTGTACCCATGGAAACGAGGTTGGAGAGTTACAGGATCTTCCCTGACTAGTTTGGTTCCCAGACTTACTAGTAAGACCGCCATCGATCCATACTTATTTTGTCTAATGTTGAAAGAATGAGATAGGGCTTGCTCTTATTATTCAGTGCAGTGTGGTGAATTTGCAAAGATATGATGGAAACCATGTTTGTGTTTTTTGGAATGATGGGAGTAAATAAATAATCGTTTCTTATGGAAGATGAATTTAGTTAAAATTTGAAGTAATTAACTGTAACTTGCATTTGAAACAATTTAAAAACACTGTGCTTTGAGGCAGTGTGCAACTCAACCCTTGCAGACTGGAGAGAGATGGGATCATGTTGAATGTTATCTCATGGGTATCTCTTAACTTGCCGGTCTTTAGGCATTGAAATATTAATTACCTGTATTTTAAATTGGGTGACATTAAGAAGTAAGGTGTTCTGTACTTGTTACCTTGACGAAATAAAATTTCAGGGAACTACTTTTAAAAACAAATGAAGTTTGGTTTTTATCTATAGATGTTACCAAACACGATTTCTTTCATGTTATCACTAAAATGGACCAATAATAAGCAATGAAGGAGGCAGCTTCACATAGACTCTAATTTATAACATGACATTGTCAACATAGAACTATAAACATGGATAATTATTATGCTGAATCCTTCATACACTGTGGGTTAACTCCGTAGCAGCTGCGTAACTACGGGGTGGGGAGTGCACAGGCATACCTGCCCCCTATTTGAAATCTGTGAATAATCCCGAGTTCATTTAGCTAAGCAGCTGCTGCAGATTTTCTTGTGGTGACCCCTTGAAAAAAATGTGTGCACCCCTGGAGGCCCCGGACATATAGGCCCAGTTATACCACTGCTCTATACCTGAAAAGGTAATCAATATCAGTTCAAACTGTTCTGAATACTGAAAGGTTTCCACACACTGACACATACAGGTGGGGATTTAAGTCAGTGGAGTAGGCATGGAGATGATTAACGCGGCAGCAGAGATGACTGATGAGAAAACTGACATCTGCTGATATACCCAAGACAAAACCATCAAATATTGATAGCATAACTGGCCTTTGGGGGGCAAGACCCTCTGCCCCACCCATTGTTGTATAGAAGCATCCAGATCAATGTGGATATCAAGATACGTGATAATTCTTAACATTATTATTAACAACATTATTAACGTTATTTAAATTACCGAAAATGGGTCACTTGGGAGACATTCCCATAGGAACGTGCACAAAATTTTCAAACTTTACCGTCCCATAATTCAATATTCCTTAATCTGATCTTAACCAAGCTTTGCATGTTTTCTTTTCAGACCCTAATCTTTCATCTCTCAAAATGTGGACGATAAAAATTTTCCTCCTTTTGGTAGCTGGAGCATTGAAATGTCTCCCTGTAATGACCGATGTTTCCCTAATGTTGAAAAATTTACCACAAAATGTCTCCCAAATGACCTATTTGTAAATATTATGCAAACTGAAACATGCTTTCATCTAGTAATATGACATTCTAATGCAAGTGTCTAAAGGTGTAAACTTTTATGACATCCATCATTTTTGATGTTGTTGACACCCTTTACGCAGAACTGTTTCCATGCCAACCGGTCTGTTCTGAATAGTTTGCGAACCAGCACATGTTCCTTAAGGTGACGGAGTTTACTTTATCAAGAGGCCAGAGAGTTCATTCGTGGATTTTCTTCTGTCATTTAAATGAAATAAGAAATATTCATTACAGCGAATGTTTACAGTGCACAATATGCTAGACGATACTTGGTTTCTAATAGGAGATTTGTTAAAATCATATTCCCCCATGTTAAAATATAAATTTTGTTGGGCCTGACATGCTTTTCTGCAGTCAATGAAAGCAAATTACCTGTTTCAGGTCAACATTAACAATTCTAAATTAAGCTCCAATCATTTCTCTCGTGCAAATTCTATAACATAGACATTAAAAATGTGCATTCCATTAAATGTTCATTAAATGTTAAATTGCAATTACAATTTAATCTCGAGCCTGCCATCTTGAATCAAAAGCGAGATAATCCCCTCATACGTTTTCTGAAGACAGAATAGGTCACGATCGACGATGATACAATAGGAGCAAATTATAGATTTACATCGTTGTGCTCCGATGGGTATGTCTAAATTATGGTTAAAAAGTCATATCGCTTTCATTTTTAAAATTAAAAAAAGCGAGGCAATACCTGTAATTGTTGCGTAATATTCAGGTATTTTCGCACTTCAGAATGTTCAATAACTGAAGTGGATTATGGGAGCACGATCCAAAATGGCCGTGTCGTAAATAAAGTCCATTAAATGTGTTAATTAACATGTCACAAATTACAGTAACACCATGAACTACATTGCAATAAATAACATAAATGCAGAGAGCACATCCACTCAATTACTGTTAAATTACTGGACATTGTGACCGGACCCCTGTTTTCTTCTACATGGACATACCACAGGTACAGCGCCAATAGGTTTAAAGATCTCCAAATGAATGTCTTGTCCTTCCCTTGTTCCATCATTCTTACGTAGTGTAACTGGCGGCAGTATCAGAAATTAACTGCATGTACGCAATGAGAAGAATACAGACTAAGTGCTTTTTAGTGAGACGTCCAAATTACTGAGTGTCTCAAATTTGGGGTATGTTTCGAAAGTTTCAACATTTACCAGAATTTCCCTGAAATTCTAGAAATCGACCAAAAAACGAACAACACTGGTCTAGGCTCACGGGTGTAAATCCTGGAGGGGAAGAATTTTTCGGAGTTCCCATTGACTAAATAATTATTGTATTCAAAATAAGTAAAAATAGGAAAATTGTAAATTGTAAAACGTCATAAAATGCCGTTTTGGTGTAAGATTGCTTGAATGTGATATTATTACAGATGTAAATCTATATCATGAACATTGCTCCCTATAGACCTTTTACACCCACGTGACTGGATTGCGCTAAATGCAAACAATACCACCATGTAGATCACCACCAACACACCATGCACTCACATCACATCATAGGTCCTGCACGATCGTGACATCACAGGAAAATGGTCTATATAGTGCCATACGTGTCAGCCGCCCCCTTTCAAATTTCCATGGCCAGGCAAGTCACACACCCCCACCCACGCAGACCACACTCATTCCCATCGTCCATCCCTCCACACTTCCCAGCACAAATTTACGCCGCCGCCGTCTAGGCTTGCCGGCGTTGTTTCATGCACAAATAAACGTCATTTTTATTGAGAGAAATGTCCGGCAGTCAGGATGAATAAAATTTGATGTATGACATATTGAAGAAAGGTTAAGTAGGTAGGTGAAATGTTTGTGAAAATCAACCATCATCTTCTGTAAGAACACACTATGTCCACGCCAACAAGCAGCTAGCGTGATACAAAACACCGTTAAACTGTATTCTATGTAGGTTTTAGCTGTAGAGTTAAATTGAAAACTATAACAAACACATTTTGATTCTGTACACGAAATAAACGTATTACAAAGAATTTTTGGTACTAAAAAGGCAAAGTATAGTTTTGAGCGACTGTTAAGGATTAAAAGATTATATTCACCAATATTCTGCTCGCGTGATGTCACACCAGTTCTATTTGAATTGAACAGACAAGTTCTGTTCAAAATCTGGTTCATTGCCAGAGAGAATTGCCGAATTATTTGTCCTTTTCACTCTTGTGGGAACTTTAATAAACGATGGACAATTTCACATCTAACTATTTGATCTAAAGAGACAGTTAACCCGGCACGCCCAAGACGGAAAACTTCTCCGTGGTTTGGTCAGTCACTCTGTGGACTGCAGGCGGCCAGCAACGTTGATCTCCTGGCAAACCATCGGCAGCGTAGGGCGCTCAGTGTATTCGTCAATCGGTGCAAACTCACAAGCAACATAAAAGTACTTGTCACATTCACTGGCAAACCATTCACCGCTGTACAGGTACATTTGTCCACAGTTTTTTTGATAAATGTAATTCCCAACTGGATCGGCATTCCTCCAATGATTGTACTCGCACTGTGAGCCATCAGCGTGGAGCCATTCTCCATCTGCCGACATCTTTTTGCAGTCGATCCACATGACGTTAGATTCTCCAAATTCTCCGGCGGCGAAGTCGAGGAGGAACGTTTGCTCGCTGAGGGAGTTGGGAACTGCTAAACCACCTCCAATACCAGAGCAGATCGCGCTTGCGTTTTCCCATGTTACGTACACGTCGACTATAAACAGTAGCGTTTGCCATTAAACCATTTGAAACTGCTGCAGACTGCAGCCGATCCTACGCCGAGGAATGCCATCACAAATATACCTAAAGATTCCATGTTTTAGCAAACGAGACTACTGCGATGCTTCAAAATCT